TAACCACGACTTAGACTTCGACTACAAGCGTCACGGAGAAAAAATTACAGTGCCACTGCATGCGGATTTTGCACTTCCACCTGAATTCGATTTCGACTTAGGCCCCGACTACGATGGTGAAGGAGATGTATTTGCAGTGCCACCGGAGGCGGATTTAGGTGTGCCTGACCACGACATAGGCTCCGACTACAACCCTCAGGGAGATAAAATTACAGTGCCACTAAGGGCGGATTTTGCACTTCCACCTGAATTCGATTTCGACTTGGGCCCTGACTACGATGGTGAAGGAGATGAGTTTGCACTTCCACCGGAATCCGATTACGACTTAGGCCCTGACTACTACCATGAAGGGGATGAATTCGCAATGCCACCAATGGTGGATTTCACACTTCCACCGGACTCTGATTACGACTTAGTCCCTGGGTACTACCATGAAGGAGAAGAATTTGCAGTGCCACCAGCGGGGGATATTAACCTTTAATTTTAAAGGGCAATAACAAAAACTATATTCTTAAGCTATATCTTTTCGACTAATAAATTCATGTAAATTGACATGCTTTTATCAATATTTTCACCTGCCAATATATAATATTATATATATTATTTTAATAATTATATTTTCAGCATGCCCTGTCTCAGTTTGTTAGTTCTTTTTCCCTTCCACCATGATCGGTTAACGTGTTATGTACTGCTGTCCATAGAAGCACACGACAGCTAGCTCTCTTCCAAGCTCGAGCCATTGCTCCTTTACACGCACAAACATTCCTTTTTCTTCATGCATAATTGGACAGGTGTCTACTCCTCCTCTACATGCTAAAGTAAATGTGTTGTCCATCACTCATTCTACATGTCGCCTTGGGTGACAACCAAAGGAAGTAGGGTTGCTCTTGTGCGACTGTTTAATCTAAGATTTATATGTCGAGAGTTTTAATTTAAAATGTTATATAATCAATAATAATTTTAATTACAATCGAGATTGTGACAGGTTTTAACCTAAGATATTACATGTTTATTAGTTACACAATCAGTAATAATTTCAGTTACAATTGAGAATATCTTGATGATAACTCATTAGATTGTAATCAGAATAATTAGTCTTAGGTGATAACCCGAGCAATTAGGACAGTTTTATTGTACGACAGTTTAATTTAAGACTAAATTATAATAGATTTTAACTTAAAATGTTATAATGTTATCTTGTTTAATATGCAATATATCTAACTCATAAAGTAAGTTTTGATCTAAAAATTATATTTACCTAAAACAAGTATATTTTCAAAAGTTATCTCACGCTTTTAAATATCATAAGACAATTTATAAAAAAATATTATTTTTCATTGACATATAAATCATTTGTTGTTGATCAAATTATTTTCTTTAAAAAATAAAAAAATATAGAAAATGTTTTATTCTAAGTTATTTTTTCGATAAAATTAGAGATAATGGATGTTGGGAGAAAAAAGATAAAAGGATTTTTGAGATGATTTCGACAATTTTATGACGATGTTGGAAAATGCAAATAAAATCGGTGGGACATCGGTAGCAGTAGAGTATGGGGCAAGAAGCATACATCTTCCATAATCGACTGTTGATATTGACTCTTAAAATTGTTGGGGAGAAACACATGATGATTACATCGATGATGAAGAAACTGAGGGACCTGAGATGACACTATTTTCGATGGTGGTGAAACTGATTTAGCCAATGATGAATATTCAACATCGTATCAACCTACTCCTCACATGAATGAGATAGATTATAATGCGATGAGGGCATCTGAATTCACAGAGATGCCACATTTGACTTCAGGCTACGTAACTGAATCATTTGACTTCACACTTTGTTGGGCGGAATCGATTTTGGCAACAATGATGTTTCATTTAATCCATACTTTGAGACAATTACTCTCTTCCATAAACTCTTTGATTCCCACCCGAACCTCCAAATCCACTTGTTTAGAAGGGATTGATTCCTTGTCCGCATATCAACTAACCCCAAGCCACCCTGGATTCTAGGTTGGCATACCCTTTCCCACTTAACCCGGTGGATGGTCCTTCCGTTATTCGCACCCCATAAGACGTTGGCTAGAAGACTATTAATCTTGGATGTTATGGTGATCTTGGATGTTATGGCGCAAGGCATCTTGAACAAAGACAGAAAATACATCGGTAAGTTAACTAAAACAGATTTTACGAGAGTGAGTCTACCGGAAAACGATAGGAGTTTGCCTCTCCATCCTTCCAATCGAGAGCTAATTTTATCCACAATGGTCTTCCAAATATCAGTCGAGTTCCTCGATAAGCCAAGTGGAAAGCCAAGATATTTAGTTGGAAGGATATCCCACTCGCAATTGATCTCCTCCGCCCACGCTGAGATGCGGATATCATCCAAATTGACACCAAACAATTTAGTTTCTCGGACGTTAAGATTAAGTCCCGAAGCTAACTCAAAGACTCTTAGGAGTCTTTTAGTGTTCTTCATGGACTCCACGTTATTCTCCGAGAGCACGATCAAATCGTCGGCGAACTGCATATGAGACAATATAAGATCGTTATTACCAACACAAACTCCTCTTATCAACCCTTCTCCCACCGCTTTCCTTATCAAACCACTCAACGCTTCTCCCGAGAGGTTGAAGAGAAGAGGGGACAACGGGAAACCTTGTCGAAACCCTCCACCAATCTTGAACTTATTAGAAGGCGTTCCATTCACCAGAACAGAGATGGTCGTTGTCGATATACACAATTTCATCCATCGCCTCCACCTCTTGCCGGAACCCATAACTCTCAGAATTAAATCTAAAAAATCCCAATCTACTGAGTCATAGGCTTTTCGGAAATTAGCTTTTAGTATGACTGCTTCTCTCTTCCTTTTCTGCACATCATCAATAATCTCATTTGCAATGAGCACGCAGTCTGTGATTTGTCTCCCTGTGATGAAAGCAAACTAAGTCAAGTTGCTCACGAGCCATTCGAGTATCAAGTAGCTCGTTTTGGCTCGTTAAGAGCTCGGTCAAGTCCATTCGAATCGAGAATTTATCGAATTTTGACCGAGTCGATCTTGAGTAACTCTCGATTTGTCTCGCCCCATTTACAACCCTAATTCCGGGAGCATAAGCATAAGGCGAAGGCATGCTCCTTTTGTAAACAAAGCTTAAATTTTTATACTAAAAAAATTTATAAATCAATTCTAGAATATGTTCATATCCATTAACTACTGGTTCACTCCTACCGATCTTAAGCTCATGTTCTTTCAGCATTGCTTGTCCCTTCATCAAGATCACATTGCATATGTGGTATGTCTTTTGCGGAAGAGGCTGTTGAGAAGTTAGCAGGCCATTGGAGTATGTTAGGAGAGTTGTTCTGGTTGTTGCATAAATTGTTAGCTTGTTCGAAACGGTTTAGCCCAGCCAGTCCATGATGGACCAAGCTCCTTGTGTTGATCTGCTAGACTATACTGGGGGCTACATAAAAGCTTAATTGGTTAAAGGCCAAAAATATCTAATGGCCTACATTTTCTACTTTCTATGCTAGTTTTGCTAAACCTAATTGTGTTTATAGCTACTGTTTATTTAACTCTTCCACAACCACAACCACAACCATTCATCAACTCTTCTGCATCCAATTGGATTCACGCATGTTTGACTTCAAGAATGTGCTGCTGAGACTACCATTAATTGCTTTGGTAACAGCTGTAGATAAGATCCATTGTATCATCTCAAAGGTTATTTAACATAAAATGACTCATTGATTGTCTTAGTAGCAGCTATAGATGATATTCACTATACCATCTTCCTTTTCTGCACGAAGATAGAATCACTCTAATTTCCTTAAAGGTATTGTAAAAGTTATATATATATATATATATATTATTTTTATTTTTGGATAATGAATTAAAAAATATAAAACAAAATAATAGGACCCATGAATTTATTGAGGTGTCAATTGTTATCATTAAATTTTATATTAACGTTAATAAAATGTTCTTCTCATAAAATTCTAATTTAGTATTTCTTTTCCAAAATTTAAAAAAAAATAATTGAATTTCTTTAATTTTGGTATTTCCAAATTCTCACCGTCAATTCACCAAATCACTTTCTTGATTTTTCATTTCAATGAAAAATTTTATTAACATTTTTTTCTTCAAAACTCAATCAGAGGAAAAATTTTAAGTATAATTAGTATTCTTCTTTTCTCTTTCATTTTTCATGATTCCTCTAAAATTTCTTATTTTTATTTTTTAATTTATCATATTTTCCATGCACACAAAGTCACAATTGTTTATCATCAATTGTGGTGCTTGAATCATATTGAAGATTGTTCTTGCAATTCTAGGTAGATCACGTTTCAGATTCTTTCTTTTGATTTTTATATATTTTCAAATTTTAGATAAGATCGCTCTTTTATTTTCAAATGTTATGTTATGTATTGAGAAAAATATATTGGAAAACATTGATGTTGACACTATCATCAATGATTTTGCAATCAAGAAATGCTCGAAGTCAATATTTTTTATAAGTATTTGTATAACATTTTTGATATTGTAATGAATTACTATTTGTTTAATTTAATAAAAAAAATCTAATAAAAGTTTTATATTACATTTTTTTTATATTAGCAGCCCATTTTTTTAATTTTCGCTCCTAGTCAAAAAATAGTCAGGACCAACCCTAGGACAGAGAGAATCCTCATTTGATTTCACCTCATCTAACTATCCTAAAAAGATTATAAAACTTGTTATATATATATTATCATGCAATCATTGGAAAAATACTTAAACACTTAATAAATATACATAGAAAGATAAAAAAAATAATAACATGATGTTTCCAAGTCCTTAGAAAAACAAATAATCAGACAAAAAAACACTGAATTGTTCATAATAAATGTGTAAATATAGGCAAAAACTCGAAACTTGTATTTTAATCCTAATTAACTTGCATTGATGATATTACCCCATACACAGATCCAACTGAAACCCAATCTATGAACATGTATAGTAACATGGAAATTCATAAGTTACATATACTTTTCCTTATTCATGCATAATAAAAAAAATGACATGCAAAGAGAAGTATTCTGACCAGATTTGTGACCGAACATGCCAAGGGTCGGCTGAACCATTTGTTGAATGTATGGGTTTACTTTTATGCTTTTATGCTTTGCCTCTCCTCGGCGTGTTGTTCAAGGTATTCTTTGCTGTTCATTTCTGTCAGTCTGCGTGACATTTAGTTTTTCGGAGAAGAAATCAATGTCATCCCTAATGTATAGTTAATTATCCGAGGACGTATCGAATATTCACTTCTAATCATCGTGTAACACCAAGTGATTTGCAGACAGATAGGAAAGACTAACGCGCAAACCAAAAGAAAGAGCATTAAGTGGTACAAAGAAAGAGTTGATATATGAAGGTTAGCATTTGTACCTACTAATGGTGCGATCCTTTGCGAATCCCAGTTCGTTATCCACACAAAGGTTTGAATCGTCGTTTCTCCTTGACCGGGAGGAGGTTCTCGGTGCCGTATACTGCGCATCTGAAACGGTCATGATGTTTTCGAAGAGTTCTAGTGGGCTGCCCTCAGCTGTACACAACAGTCTGGCCTTGTTTTCATACATTACCTGCAACATTGAAGAATAAAGATGAAGGCCAACGGATCTATGGTGTATTTAGTTTATCCCGACACTGCTATAGCGATTCATTCACCGTATACTGAACGACAAGTAGATCATATGGGATCTGAAAACAGGCAAAGCTATAAGAAGAAACAGAGCATACATCAACTAAAGTGACAAACCGATAGGCTGCCGTCCTGTTGTGCAGCCCGAGTTTTGGAATACCTTCAAGAGCTAGGGTATGAAAATTCTCTGCGAGAGGATAGTATGGGAAATAAGATCAGAACATATGACTAAATTCTACTGTTATTGGTCGAGTATCACTTACTGAACAATCCAAAGTAGTCTGCAGCTCCAAGAGGTCTGTCACAAAGTTCCTCGAACGAGAAATAGGCACATCCATTAGCACCAAGGGGAACCTGGTGACGAGAAGCAATACAAAAAACTCATTGAATCAGTCGAGATATGTACCCTACGTAACGATAGAACTAATACTCTAGCACATACCTGCAAAGTCCTACCCATAACTACTTCAACCACTTGTGGACTAGCAGCAACATGTTCACCAATCAGATGCTGAAAGTTCTGTTTTAGGAGGCTGGACAAATCTTTGCCAATGAAGTAGAAACCTTCTTCTGCCTGAGCATTGGAATCAGAAAACGATAATTTCATGCTATAATTGCAGAAATGAAATTTCAGTGAATCTACACAAGAATTGATTTGATCGTACCGAGGTGAGTTTCCGGTAATCTACTGCAGAACTGATTTCATGAACGACACATCTTTCCTACAGAAACATATCCTTCAGAGATTATAGTAACCTCTGAATAGGTCAGTAAATCAATTACAACACGAATATATCTCCATCCATACCTTCAAACTGGCAATGAAGGGTAGAAAAAGATCCCTCTGCAGTCCACCTTCGTAGAGATTGTCCGGAGCACGATTTGAAGTTGCAACAAGTATCTACACTTTCCACCATCAGAGTCCAAGCAAAGAAGTTTGATGTTAATTTTCAACAGAGACCGACTACAACTATAATGTGATAAATTTACTTACAATGCCATTACTGTATAAATGTCCGAAAAGACGGTTCAATATCAATGCATCAGCAACATCAGTCACCTGCAAAAGACCACAATTGTTGAAATAAAATTTTGGCTTCAGAGGCGTAAAGAAATTGATTTGAATGTTAATTAGAACTATAAATGTTTTACCATAAATTCATCTAGACACAGTAGAATCGCATCATCGGAAATCTCTCCTGCCACAACTTCAAGTGGATCTGCAACACCCTTGTGCTTCTGCAAGAGTTGATCATTGTGTTAAAATCACATAAGCATCTCAAGATTATAATGAGATTTTTTTCAAAAAAATCACTCCAAGGCTGAAGTATCATACATATTCTCATTCATGTTACGAAAGATAAGAATACTGAGCAAAACCTAGTATTGAAACAGCCCAATTACTATGAGATCACCGATTTGTTCAACTATGAGAAATGTAATCATACATATTCTCACCTGCAAGCGACTGTGGACATCTAACATAAAGTCATGAAAATGGATCCTTTTCTTCCTCCAATTGCAAGGCCTGACACAGTGGAAAACAGAATACAGGATAGAAATCAGCAAGTATGAGCAGTTAGCATGGCAGGCGACGAAAATGGAGAAAATATTTGACCGAAGCTTACAATTGATCGAAGAAGAGGTCCATCAACATAGTTTTCCCTGTGCCTACTCCTCCATAAAGATATAATCCCTTGACGGGGGAGTATGAAGACTGTGGAGACTGTGGCATTAAACGAGACCAAAACCACCGTTTCCTGAAGAACAACTAAATGTTCATCAACTATTGGTGGAAGAATGTTATAAAACAGAACCTTTACCTAACAGTTTTCTCAGGCACTTGATAGCGATCCAACCGGCACTCGGCAGCTGACTCAACGATCTCATCATAAAGCCTTTGAAGTTCTGTTAAAGTGCCTACCTGCAAAAATCTCTGTTACAACAATTTCACAATGCCACCAGATGACCACACACCAAAACTGCCTAAACACCAATAGCAGCAGAATGCATGTTTTCAATGTAGTTCATTTCTTTCAACTGATGAATGATGAGTTCACCCGCTGAAATTCATATACCTGGCAGGCATCACCATCAAAGAGCTCACCGGCTGAAATTCTTCGTTCATACTCCACGAGCGGCCCTCCTCCGTTTACTTCTGCGACGGAGCGCAGAATTTTAACTCAGGAAAAGCGAATTTTATATTTAGTACTTCATATTATAAATTTAAGGAGCCGAATCATAAAATTTCAAAGAAACGAAATTAAATCATCAATAAAAAAATAACTAAATTATACGAAAAATTATTAACCAAACATGAACGAACGGAAACCGAATAGAACCTGTCGTATCAACTTTAGTTGCAGCACCCGTTGAGAAAGGTCTTGCAGAGAACAAAAATCTGTGGATTTCGGCATTGTGAGGCAGTGTATAAACAGGAGTAGAATTGGTTTGAATCAAGCGGCTTCGTCTCCTAACAATAGCACTGGAATAATTGTTTATCCTTTGTGTACAAGCTGATCTTATGTTGCGAACTGATCGGACGATCGCTCTCATTTTCAATTCCGGTAATAAGTTTATTCTCCAAGAGCATCAATTCCTTCAACGATCGCTCAGCAAATAATTGAAAAAGAATTAATTCTGGAATTAAACTATTTTATTAAAAAAACAGTTCATAATTACTGGATAATTGAACAGAAAATCTGTCTAATCAGTGAATAATTAGTGAAAAAAGAAAACCAGTCACCTGGATTAATTGAGTAGGCTATGTTCAATTGCCAAGAAACAGGGAATCAAAAGATAGAGAGAAACCGAGAAACGCCGGCTTGCGCTGTACTTTTAACGGTTAACGTCTGTACTACAATTATTTTGAAGATTACAAGTATAATCATGCTATTAATAAATACAAATTCAGATTCAAAACAATTATGGATAAAAGAATTGAATTTTATATATATTCATAGTGTAACGCCCTTGGAACTTAAACACCTCGAACGTGCGGCCTTAGTTGCCTTCTTTGTGATTGCGGCTAAGTCAGCCTGAAAACAACCCAAGCAAGGATGCTTAGATTCCCAACGGAAGCAAAAACAAGAGAACTCAGCACAATAAGCAAGACAAGAGAACTGTGAGAGAATGCTCTGTGATTTCTCAAATTGAAGAAGTGAGTACAAATGAGGAGGAGATGCCTCTATTTATAGTGGAAGCTCCCCTCAACGAACGGCTAAGATCTAAGTACATCGACGGCTTAGATTAAATACAATCTCCTAAATCCCACAAATCAAGGGATTGTGATTACAAAATCTCTCTTAACTAAGAAAACTCTATCAAGCTAGCTATATGTTGCCTTAGATAAAAGATTACAATGTTTATGGAAAGAATCATGAGGATTTTGCATTAAACCAAGGATTCTCCTGCCATAAACGTATAAGACTCTTCATCTCCATGGAATGGGCCAGTCTTCATGGGTTCAGAAAGGTCCAACACGCCACATAAGTGCTCTTGGCCTACTCCTCGTGTGTTGACCCCGATTGTGGGCTCGCGGTCCGTGACACCCTCCCCCACTGGTTCCGGTGACGCCCTCGTCACTCGTCTCGCATGAAACTGGTCTATCATGGTCTTGAATTGCCAAAGTCCCTCGGCATGCTCCCAACTCTCTTCACACTCGGGTTGTCCCTTCCACATAACAAAGTACTCATGCCTTGGGCGATGTCCTGGTCGTCGAATTACTCTCTCCGCCTGTATGTCTTGGATCTCCTTGTCATAGGAGACCACAACTCCGACTGGTGCTCGGTGTGACTTGCCTCGATCTGGATCCTCCGTATCCTGATGGTACGGTTTGAGTAGACTCACATGGATGACGGGATGCGCTCGGATGGTTGGAGGCAACTCCAACTTGTAGGCCATGGTGCCTACCCGCTTCACAACTCGGAACGGACCCTCATACCTCCGCACAAGTCCCTTGTGCACATCTGCATGGCGCAAAATGTTGGCCAGTTTCGCAAGGACAAGATCGCCAACTTCAAAGTTCACGTCCCTACGCTTTCGGTCGGCCCACTTCTTGGTCCGCTTCCCCGCCTTGTGCAAACAAGCTCGGGCTAAGTCATGCTGCTCATGCCACTCCTTGGCAACATTGTGCGCTAATGGATTTGGCCCATCATACTTGGTAACAACCGTGTTGGGTGTCAATGGTTGTTGCCCGGTCACGATCTCGAATGGACTCTGGTTTGTCGCCTCGCTCCGTTGCAAGTTGTAGGAAAACTGGGCCACATCCAACAACTTCGGCCAGTCACGTTGGTTGGCACTCACATAGTGCCTCAGATAAATCTCTAACAGAGCATTCACTCGCTCAGTTTGCCCGTCGGTTTGTGGATGAACTGCGGTAGAAAAGTTCAAGCTTGATCCCATCAACTTGAACAACTCCGTCCAGAACCTTCCTGTGAACCGTGTGTTCCGATCACTAATGATGGTTTTTGGCATCCCCCAAAACTTCACCACATGCTTGAGGAAAAGTCGAGCTGCCTCCACGGCTGGACACACCTTGGACGCTGGAATGAACGTCGCATACTTCGAAAACCTGTCAACCACAACCATAATACTCGAAAGTCCATCAGTCTTGGGCAAACCAATGATAAAATCCATGGAAATACTCTCCCATGGGCGCTCAGGAATGGGCAAAGGTTGTAACAATCCCGCCGGTTTCTTTGCCTCGATTTTGTCTTGTTGGCACACAAGACAAGTCTTCACATAGGCCTGCACATCCTCAGTCATGTGTGGCCAATAGTATTGCTCCGAAAGTAGTGCCAAGGTTCGATCAACTCCCGGATGTCCCGCCCACTTGGAATCATGGTATTCCTTCATGAGCTCCTTGTGCAGCTTTCCATATCGAGGTACAAAGAGACGATGTCCTCGATAATAAAGCAACTCCCCCTCGAGCCAAAACTCCCCGGTTCGCCCCTCCTTAGCTCCATCAATGATTCTCTCGGCCACAGGGTCATGAGGCAACCCTTCTTTGATCCTCTCAAGCAAAGTACCTTCCACAGTCTCGATGGCATACCTCCGGCTTAAGCCATCCGCAACACAGTTCACCTTCCCTGGCTTGTACTCTATAGAAAAGTCGAACTCGGCAAGAAACTCTTGCCAACGAGCCTGCTTGGGAGAAAGCTTCTTTTGGGTGAGAAAATAACTATTTGCAACGTTGTCGGTAAAGACCATAAACCTGGAACCAAGCAAATAGTGACGCCAAGTGCGCAAGCAGTGCACCACTGCAGTCATCTCCTTCTCATGAACCGAGTACCTCCTCTCGGTCTCATTGAGCTTCCGGCTCTCATATGCAACCGGATGTCCCTCTTGCATTAGGACTCCACCGATGGCGACGTCGGATGCATCGGTGAAAACAACAAAAGGCTTGGTGTAGTCTGGCAACACCAACACGGGCTCACTCACCATGGCTTCCTTGATCTTTTCAAAAGCTTCTTGGCACTCCGTGCTCCAATCCCACACCTTGTCCTTCTTGAGCAACTCGGTCAAAGGTGTGGCAATCTTGGAATAGCCCTTCACGAACCGTCGGTAGTAGTTGGCTAGTCCCAAGAATGCTCTCATCTCGGTCGCCTTGGTGGGTGGCTTCCACTCATCAATCGCCCGAATCTTGTCCCTATCCATCTGGAGCTTGCCTCCTCCAACGATATGGCCTAGGAACGGCACCTCCTTCTGCGCAAACGAGCACTTTTCCTCCTTGACATAGAGCTCGTTCTCCCGTAAGACTTGGAACAACCTTCTCAAGTGCTCAACGTGTTCCTCCAAGGTCTTACTATACACCACAATGTCATCAAGGTAAACTACAACGAAACGATCAAGAAAGGGTTGTAGTACCTTATTCATCAATGTGCAGAAGGTAGCAGGGGCATTTGTGAGGCCAAAGGGCATCACTAGAAACTCATATGAACCATAGCGCGTCACACAAGCAGTCTTCGGTTCATCACCTTCGGCTATCCTGACTTGGTAGTATCCGGACCGCAAATCTAACTTGGTGAACCACCTTGCACCACCAAGTTGATCAAACAAGTCAGCAATCAATGGGATTGGGTACTTGTTCTTCACAGTGAGCTTGTTTAAAGCTCGGTAGTCGATGCACATTCGAAGGGAGCCATCATGCTTCTTCTGGAATAGCACCGGTGCACCAAAGGGTGCCTTCGACGGTCGGATATACCCCGCATCTAGGAGCTCTTTCAACTGTCTGCGAAGCTCCTCTAACTCCGGTGGGGCCATACGGTACGGTGCCTTGGCGGGAGGCTCCGCATTCGGCATGAGCTCGATCTTGTGGTCCACCTCTCTCTTCGGTGGCAAACACTTCGGCAACTCTGTTGGCATCACATCCCTAAACTCTGCCAATACTTGTCCCACTTCAGTCGGGACTTCCTCGGTCATTGTGGGCTCAGCTCCCACCAATGAAGCCACAAATGTGGGTTCCTCCCTGCGCACCCCCTTTGAGAACTGGATCGCGGACAACATCTTGGCATCGGTTCCAGACTCTCGACTTACCGAAACAATGCATTGGTGCTTCGGATCACAAATTACTAGGCAATCGGCAAATGGCAAGGGAAACGCATTAATCCGATCAAGGAAACTAATCCCAATAACAAAGTCGAAATCATCGAGTGGGATTACCTTTATGGACTCCTTCCCGGTCCATCCTCCAATGCTAAGCTTGATTCCTCTTGCTTCCCCAACAATCGGAACCTCCTTGGTATTGACGGTTTTAATGAAGCCACTTGTCTTCTCTACACGAAGATCAAGTTTCTTGGCAGCTTGTTCGGACAAGAACAACTCTGAGGCACCCGTGTCCACTAGTGCACTCATCTTTTGGCCCGCCACGGTGATGTTTACGTACATCAGTCCCTTCTTCTTGTGACCCTTCTTGATCTCCATGGAACTAGCTTCAAGGTCTCCTTCTCTTCCCCATCATTCTCCTTGATGGCAGCAACTTTCACAAGCTGAGGACAATCCCTCTTCATGTGAATTCCTCCACAATTGAAGCACGATAATTCTCCATTCTTCTCCCAAGGATTGGAAAGCTTTTTGGGTCGATCATTCTGCTTCCCATTACCCCCTGCTGGCTTTTTGGAGCCTCCTCTGGCCTTCTCTCCCCCACCATTACCTTTGGGTTTTGGCTTTGGTTTGTGAGAGTCGGTCTTCTTTATTTCAAATGGGGCAATGGCCTCGGCTTCATCCAATGCCTTGGAGAGAGTTTTCACTACCCTCCTCTGGATCTCCAAGTTGGCCCACCGTTGTAGTCCATCCATGAATGCAAAGAACCCTTCTGACTCACCTAAGTCGGGAATTTGCATCTTGATCTCAGTGAAGTTCTTGACATACTCCAAGATTGTACGGTCATGCTTCAACTGCTTCAGTTTTGCTCGAGCCTCGAGCACAGCATTCTTCGGATAGAAATGCTCTTTGAGTTCGCCAACAAATTCTTCCCATGTCCCAATCGGATCTACCTTTTCGGTACACCTGTGTCGCCACCATAACATAGCAGCATCAGCAAGATAATTTGAAGCAACATTTACCTTGGTGGCATCATCCCCGATGCCCATGCC